ATCTGATTGGCAAATTAAGAAACCTGATAGTAAAAGACCGATTGGGCAAACCCCCCTGTCGAATTTTCATGCGAATGACAGTTGCGTGCATGAGTTGTATTCGAAAGTGAAAGGGTGAATGGACTTACAGTTTTGCGTAGGAAACTGCCGAATGGACCCCGTTCGTGTGAATACTCACTGAGCTTGGCGTGTGAGTTCCTGAGCGTTCTTTCCGAGCGTCGCGGGAAAATGACGTCAGAGGTCAGCGTGGAGCGGAAATGAAGGCGGAATTTCCGGAATCGATGAAGACAGGTAAGCCTGGGGTTTGCTGGGTTTATATAGGCCTTAAATCCCTCCCACAACTACAGGCATATGCCTTCTATATATATGTTAAAAGGCCATTTGGCCTGAATTTGTGGGAGCAGTTATGACCCCTATTTAAACTCCTACCTTTGCTGTTCAAGCTGTTTGTCTTCTCTATACCAGTAGATAGCTATTTCCCAAGTTCGGGCCTAAAAACATAGGGTATAATTTCGTACGGTTTAAACAACAATGTACATGGCTTTCGTTTATTCTTTCGTGCGGTCCATTAACCGACCAAGGTATTTCTTTTCTGCTTAAAGTCCTCTCCGTTCGTTTGTTTCTAGCCGAACGCAGGAGGCTTTAATGTTTAAATTCAGTAATCTGTTACTAAACGAATTTCGTTGTCATTCGTTAAAACGAAAGAACTTTCCACCTTTCACTTTTTCATCAGTTACTACTGGTTAAAATATTACATCTGTTTTTCATTATTCCTCGGCTATGGTCATGTAAATTTATGGGACACATCATTTTTACACATGGAAAATCTTCTTAAAGGCACGGTCAGGTCATAATCACTAAATAAGTAAAGCTATACTAAATACACCACTCGGCACGATTATTTACTCCCACTGGAACTTAGTCTCGCATATCATAAATTCATTTCCTTTCCCTAAATTCACAAGACTAGTCTTTCTGCATAAAGTTCTCTCCCTTACACTACGTCTTTATCTTTGTTTTAGCATGTCATAGGTTAAGCTCTAACGGTTCCTTTTCACCAGGCTCATTACAGACCATAAGCACGATTGCAAAATCTCTGTTTTCCTAAAACCTTATATGCTGGTTCCTTATACTTGGTATGCGTATGATTTTAGGCTCAACTACATTTCCTTCAAACAGTCTCCGGGAAGTGTTATCCCAGTATCCTGCATTACTGTATCAGGTAAGAAAGATTTACCAGTTGTATTTTTCTTCCCCTCGAGGCCTCATTCAGCCTCCACGGCCTCATTAGGCCTACCCACCCCCCAAGATTGGGTCACGGCAAATATCCTTCACTACGATTTCAACAACAATCACCTACTAAACCTACACCGCTTTGGTACTACTAATCTTAACGGTACATTGCTTGTCTCTCATTTCTACGTGTCATTACTTAGACCTGCGTCATTACCGCAGTTTCGACAAGTTCTACGCCATCAGGCACCAACAGCCTACCTGATATCCTGCATTTCAGTACCAGGTATTGTTAATCTTACTCACTACAATTATGTTTCTCCTTAAGGCCTCACTCCACCTTCTTATCATTTAAATTTCACAATTTTTTTTATTTTTTAAAATCTTTTATTTTATTGAAAGATTGGTCATTACAGAATAAGCAGAACATTTGTCTGGCGGACTCGCAGGTCCATTTAGAAAGTACATATAATCGGTCCTTTAAATGTTTCAGAACTAGCTCCCAATGAAACTCATGTGCATGCCTTATATCAGGTATCGCCTGGGGCTTTATTGTAATTGTCAGTTGATTAGTCGAAGCCTGTATCAGCATCAGTCGGTATCAAGGACTATGGTAGCTATCATAAGGGTTATTTGCATTCTGTCCAGAAGAGCAAAGTATTGTTTGTCCCGTTGTACCGTCAGAATGCATATCAATGTGTGGGAGTTACCACACCGTGTCAGATGTTAGTGAGACAGGTGTAGGTCTGAGTCCTACCGTTCTCCCAGTCCCTGTCTCCTGAGGTATTTTTCTGTCGAAAGTCGCGATGCAGTGTACCAGAACCGGTATTTGGCCAGTATGAGGAGGAGTCGTCTCCCCTAAGTTTCGGTGGGTAGTCTCACGTCCTGATTTTGGGTAATAAAAGCGTAAAGTGGATGAGTGGTCTCGTTTAGAGTGTGCACGTGTTGTGCATAGTACATCGTATGGGTCCGGTGTTGTGTTTGTGTCCATACTTATATAGTCTTGGAGACATGGTGTCCAGGGTGGGTGTAAGGATATGATAGATGTCTGATCGATTAGAAGTGCAGGGTAGTGAAAGAGTAGGTCAGAGGTGACAGAGAGGGAGATGAGGAAAGAATGGTTGGGAGGGAGGTATCCAGGTGGACACCCCACCCCGCTGTGCCCCCAGCCTGATCCCCCCCGCCCTCCCCCCCCAGCGACCCCCTGCCTACAGGCCCCCCGAGGCATGCGCGAACCATGGCATCCAAGCTTCCACATGTTTGGCAGTCCTACCTGTGAGAGATGCATGTATCGCCTCAGCCCCCTGTATCTCCTCCACCCTGCGCATCCATTCCTCTTTGTGGGTTGTGACAGGTTTTTTCCAGGTTTTTTCGCTTTGGCCACATTCAGGAGGTGTCGCAGAATCCAGCGTTTATATTGGGAGATTGACATTGGTGATATGTGAAGCAAAGCCAATTCGAGTGTCCATTCGGTCGTTTCCCCTAGTATGTCCTGTATGGTAGATCTTATAATTTCCCAGTAGCAGGAGATTTTGCTGCAATCCCACCAGATATGCATCGTGGTGCCCTGCTCCGCCAAGCATCTCCAACACATTGGAGGTATCGTTGGGAATATTCTGTGCAGCAATGATGGGGTTCTATACCAGTTTGTTAATAGTTTTTAATTTGTTTCCTGGAAGCCTGAGCTAATAGAGCTCTTGTAATGCCACAGTAGAGCCTTGTCCCACTGTTGTTGTGTGAATTGTTTCGTCAATAGCAATTCCCACCGTCTGCGGAACAAATCATGTTCATTCAAATGTCCAGTTAAGAGGTGCTGATATAATGTAGAAATCATTCTAGTAGTCGCAGTGCCCGTCGCGCAGCATTCCTCAAACCATGTGAGGTCTCGATGCACGCGGTCTCTATTGTGGAGTGTGTCGTAAAAATGTTTCAATTGTAAGTATCGGAGTATTGCCAGCATGGTGCGAGGTCCCCCATTCAATAGTGAGTCCAAGGGTCGTAACCCCCCATTCTGGAAAGCTGTGTGTATAGGAATATATCCGCGATCCTCTGAGAAGGGCCAAGCCCCAGCAGGTAGTCCCCCCCCCAGTTTGTGATTATAAGTAATCGGAAGTAGAGAGCTCTGGGTTGGAGATATATGATTTTGCTCTCTAATTAGGTTCCAGCTGTGTAATGTCTGGACCACCGGCCCTGTGTCCTCTAGTCTCTGCCCTAGGGTTTGCGTCTTTGTGTCCCAAATGGCAGATTGTAGGGCTGCCTCATTTCCTTCAGCATTCAGGGCTATCCATTGTTTGTGTTCAGGGATCGTGTGCCATTCAAGTATTCGTTGCAGTACTGTAGCTTGATAATATTTTTTAAAATCTGGGAGAGCTAGCCCTCCGTAGTGTCTGGGTAGGCATAATGTGTCATGTTTGAGTCTTGAGCGCTCTCCGCGCCACACATAGCGCAGAGCCGCCAACTTCAGTTTAGTAAAAAAGGAGGTTGGCGAGGTAAGCGGAAGCGCCTGGAAGGGGTAAAGGAGCCTAGGAAGGATATTCATTTTAAGGACGGCTACACGTCCCTGCCACGAGATATGTGGGTATGTCCATTTTGTCATATCCGTTAGTAGCGTGTTTAGGAGGGGAATATAGTTATAGGAGTACAGGTCCTTCGGGTCTGAAGCTATCCAGATGCCAAGATATTTCATCTTGGTGCTACACCATGTAAAAGGGAATATCGTCCCTAGAGTTCTATAGTCGCGCTCCGGGTGCGTTATATTTAGTGCCTCGCATTTGGATATATTGAGTTTGAAACCCGATAACCGGACGAATTTTTCAAACTCCTCCAGTAAACATGGTAATGTGGTTCTGTGGCTGCTAATGAAGAATAGGAGGTCATCCGCGTATTCGGCTACCTTGTGTGTCGTTCCCTGCCAGGAAAATCCTGTAACATCCCGGTTTTGTCGGATCATTTGTAAAAAGGGCTCAAGGGTCATGGTGAAAAGTAAGGGGGACAAGGGGCACCCCTGGTGTGTGCCTTTCGTAATCTGAAAGTCTTCTGTAAGCGCACCATTGACCCTGACCGCTGCCCAAGGCTTGCGATAGAGGGCTTGAACCCATGTGAGGAATGTTTGCCCCAAGCCCATTTCCCTCAATGTTGCTATCATGAATGGCCATTGTACCCGATCGAATGCCTTCTCGGCATCTGTGGAGAGGAGGAGAAGCCGTTGTTGTGTTTTCTTCGCCAGGTGTTGGATTGCGAAAACCCGCATGGTGCTGTCCCTCACCACACGTCCTGGTATGAAACCTGTTTGATCCATATGTATCAGGCCCGGGAGTGGTGTTTGGAGTCTGGTGGCCAGGACCTTTGTGAATAGCTTGGTGTCCACATTTAAAAGAGAGATGGGGCGATAGTTTCCGCAATTCCTCGGGTCTTTGCCTGGTTTTGGAATGACCGTTATGGTTGCCGCCAAAGATTCGGCCCCTAGAGTCCCTCCATCTGTAATCGCATTGATGGCTTTTGACAGCCATGGTAGCAGTATTGCAGTAAAAGATTTATAATAGGTCGCGGAGAAACCGTTCACAATTGTCTCAAATTACGGTCCAACGTTCAGGTGCCTCAGCTTACACAGGTTCTTACGTTACAGTATCATTGATACACACCTATCCACACGTTCGACATTTTTTACACCAGGCATACCAGTGGCATGCCTCAGGCCCACTAGCATCTATCTTACCCCTAGGATACCTTGGCCGGACCTATTCACTTCAGAAGCAAGAATAGATAGTGAAGTCTTCCTGTGCCTTGCCCAAAGCAATAGGACTAATACTCAAGGTTAGTATCTACATACGTTCAAGCACATCATCCAAAAAGACAAGCCCCATCAGGCTAGAGAACTGGCATTTAGGGTTAGGTGCTGGCCTTAGCAACTCTAAGTAAATACACCAGTCCCGCGAGGTCAAAACAGAGGTTCAGCCCCACGACCAAAATCATAGTTAGCCACCTCGCTCGCCCTTCTTTAGGGCTCAGCTAGGGCTCCCCAAGTCATGGCCACACATTTTGAATCTCTTACGGTCACCGAGAGGCCAACATCCCACCACCATGTTCAAGTGGCCACGAATTCTCTCGGCCAAAATCATAGGTAGAGCCTCTCACCACCACTTGGCACTAGCAGGACCCCACCTGTCACTTGGGTCTAGTTAAATTCTTTGCCTCAGCACTAGTTAGCAGGCCAGTTCTCCAAAGGTCTCATCCCCACCTCCATAACACCCTACCTATCGAAATCATTATTCCTTTTTCAGAATGTCACAAGAATCCATTCCAATCATCGATCTGCCGTTGGACGAAATACCCAGCACGCCAGTCAGGCCTGGGTCTCCAGAGGAATCCCTCACCCCTTCTACCCCCAGATCCCTGAGATATTGTTCCATTCCAAAAATATCAGCAGAGCTCAGACTCAGGGGTACCCCTTTCCAGCCACTGCTAGAAAGGCAGAACTGTACAGGCTCCTGACGGCACAGGCCAACTACCCTTGGCACGGCACTATCAGGCATAGCCACTCACAGGGGTTTCACACGGGCCTTATTGCCATCCCAAAAGGTACACTCGAATGCCCTAACCTATTATCTGCATCCAATGACCCGCTTATGGTGGACCACCTTCTGTCCACGGAAATCAAGGCTGGTTTCATAATCCGCTCTTTCTCGTCTTCACCATTTTCATCTTGGAGTACCAACCCCATCGGGGTAGCCATTCACAAACACTCCAATAAAAAACGTTTGATTTTAAAAAAATAGAAAAGCAGTTGTTGTTGGGTGATTCCATTATAAGAGGTGTGGAGATGGACAATGGTGGTCTTGTGAGATGTCTTCCCGGAGCTACTGCTCACAGAGACAGGAGACGTATCTGTAATATTGTTAAGCAAGCAAAGCAGGAAGGGGAATTGGATGTACTTGTCCATCTAGGGACAAATGACTTGGCTTGCAATGAGGTTTCAGAGGTTAAGGAAGTTTTTAGTGTTTTTGCCAATGATATACGGCAGGTTGCTTCCACACTGTCATTCTCTGAAGTTCTGCCTGTGCATAACACTCAGAACGACAGGCGGATGCGTATTAGGGACTTTAATTTGTGGCTTGGTGAATGGTGTCGGGAGCAAGGATTTGGCTTTATTTCTCATGGTAGCTCTGTTTGGAATGGAGATAAGCTGTACAAAAAAGATGGTTTGCATCTTTCTCAAAAGGGAACAAATGTTCTCAGTGAGCAGTTCAGAGGTTTTGCTAGGATGTATTTAAACTAGGAGGGGGGGGCAAAAGGGTGATAAAACATCAATCCAATTGTCCCCCAAAACAAGGACAGAAGGTGCCTGTAGCAAGTGTGTTAAAAAATGATAAGCTTAGAGTCATGTCTACAAATGCTTGCAGTTTAGGGAATAAGATCCATGAACTTGTGGCAATAATGGCAACTGATAGTGTAGATTTAGTCGCTGTTACTGAGACATGGTACAATGAGAAAAATGACTGGGACATAGCAATACCAGGGTACTCTTTATATAGGAAAGATAGGGAAGGCAAGAAAGGGGGAGGGGTGGCCTTGTATGTGAAGGATAGCATAAAATCTAGCCTAATAAAAGTTAGTGAGGCAAACATAGAGTCCGTTTGGGCTACGTTAGAATTTGGTAATCACACAGTAACTCGTGTAGGTGTGATTTATAGGCCCCCAGGACAAATTGAAGAGTTAGATAATCTACTAGTTGAGGAAATAGCTAAAATGACAATGAAGGGGGAAGTTATCATCATGGGTGACTTTAATCTTCCTGATGTAAATTGGAAAACAAAATTAGCTACTTGTGCCAGGAGCACACATATTCTAAACTCCCTACTGGGATTGTCTCTAAAACAAGTTGTTGAGGAGCCAACTCGTAAAGAGGCCATACTAGATTTAGTGTTAACAAATGGAGATTTGGTATCAGATGTTACTGTAGGTGAAAGTTTAGGATCCAGTGATCATCAGTCAATGTGGTTTAATATAAGAACAGTGACTGAGTCACACCACACAAAAACAAAAGTTTTAGACTTTAGAAAAACAGACTTTTCTAAAATTAGAATATGGGTAGAGGAGTCATTATCAGACTGGAGCAATTTAAATGGAGTCCAAGAAAAATGGGATTATTTAAAAGTTGCACTATTGAAGGCAACAGAAAATTGCATTAGGCTTGTCAGTAAAAGCAAAAAATTCAAGAAACCACTGTGGTACTCCGCAGATGTGGCCAAAATAGTTAAAAACAAAAAGTTAGCATTTAGGAATTATAAAAAAACCCAGAGTGAGGGAGACAAAATGATCTATAAGATTAGGCAGAAAGAGGCTAAGCAAGTTATAAGAGCTTCCAAATCACACACAGAAGAGAAAATAGCACAGTCAGTAAAAAAGGGGGATAAAACATTTTTTAGATACATAAATGAGAAAAGAAAAGTAAAACAAGGATTAGTTAGATTAAAAACAAAAGAAGGAAGGTATGTAGAAGAGGATAAAGGTCTAGCTGACTGCCTCAATGAATATTTTTGTTCTGTATTTACAGATGAAAATGAAGGAAAAGGACCTCAGTTGAGAAAAAGGATAAATGAGTCATTTATTACACGTGAGTTTACAGAGGAAGAGGTTCTATTTCAACTGTCAAAAGTAAAGACAAATAAGTCAATGGGACCTGATGGAATACACCCAAAGCTATTAAAAGAGCTTAGTGGGGTACTAGCAAAACCATTAACAGATTTATTTAATCAATCATTGTTAACAGGAGTAGTCCCAGAAGATTGGAAGTTAGCGAATGTTGTGCCCATTTACAAGAAAGGTAATAGGGAGGAGTCGGGCAACTATAGGCCAGTAAGCCTTACTTCAGTAGTGGGGAAAGTGATGGAAACCATGTTAAAGGATAGGATTGATGAACATCTAAAACACATGGATTTCAAGATCAGAGACAACATGGGTTTACTTCAGGGAGATCATGCCAAACTAATCTTATTGATTTTTTTGATTGGGTAACTAGAATTATAGATCAGGGTGGTGCAGTAGACATTGCTTACCTAGATTTCAGTAAGGCTTTTGACACTGTTGCACATAGAAGGCTTATCAATAAACTGCAATCCTTAAGTTTGGATTCCAATATTGTTGAATGGGTAAGGCAGTGGCTGAGTGACAGGCAACAGAGGGTTGTAGTTAATGGAATATATTCGAAGCTTGGACTTGTCACCAGTGGGGTACCTCAGGGATCTGTACTTGGACCCATTCTCTTTAATATTTTTATTAGTGATATTGCAGAAGGTCTTGATGGTAAGGTATGTCTTTTTGCTGATGATACTAAGATATGTAACAGGGTTGATGTTCCAGGAGGGATAAGCCAAATGACAAATGATTTAGGTAAACTAGAAAAATGGTCAGAATTGTGGCAACTGACATTTAATGTGGATAAGTGCAAGATAATGCATCTTGGACGTAAAAACCCAAGGGCAGAGTACAGAATATTTGATAGAGTCCTAACCTCAACATATGAGGAAAGGGATTTAGGGGTGATTATTTCTGATGACTTAAAGGTAGGCAGACAATGTAATAGAGCAGCAGGAAATGCTAGCAGAATGCTTGGTTGTATAGGGAGAGGTATTAGCAGTAGAAAGAGGGAAGTGCTCATGCCATTATACAGAACACTGGTGAGACCTCACTTGGAGTATTGTACACAGTACTGGAGACCGTATCTTCAGAAGGATATTGATACCTTAGAGAGGGTTCAGAGAAGGGCTACTAAACTGGTTCATGGATTGCGGGATAAAACTTACCAGGAAAGGTTAAAGGATCTTAACATGTATAGCTTGGAGGAAAGACGAGACAGGGGGGATATGATAGAAACATTTAAATATATAAAGGGAATCAACACAGTAAAGGAGGAGACTATATTTAAAAGAAGAAAAACTACCACAACAAGAGGACATAGTCTTAAATTAGAGGGACAAAGGTTTAAAAATAATATCAGGAAGTATTACTTTACTGAGAGGGTAGTGGATGCATGGAATAGCCTTCCAGCTGAAGTGGTAGAGGTTAACACAGTAAAGGAGTTTAAGCATGCGTGGGATAGGCATAAGGCTATCCTAACTATAAGATAAGGCTAGGGACTAATGAAAGTATTTAGAAAATTGGGCAGACTAGATGGGCCGAATGGTTCTTATCTGCCGTCACATTCTATGTTTCTATGTTTCTATATTTCTATGATTATTGACCTCTCTGCACCTCATTCTTCCTCCATTCCCAGCATCTACTCTCTCATACCCGCTGAGTAGTTCTCACTGCAATATGCCAAAATTGACGATGCCATGCAAGCTAGACATGTATAATTCGTTTCGGTCCGAATGTGAATTCGGACGAATTTCGGGAAATTCAGACATTCTGGTACTTCCGAATGTCTGAATAGATGAATTGCCGAATTGTCGAAGTTTCGAAATTATCGAATTTTTGAAGTGTCGAAGTTCCGAAGTGCTGAAGTTGCCGAAGTTCCGAAGTGTCGAGGTTCCAAAGCACAGTATTGCCTAAGAACTAATATACTTACCCAGTGGAAGAATGAAGAATGTTAAACTGAAAAAAATAAAAAGTGTACAAACATAGCCAGGATTCAACTGTAAGCATTTGCAACACTTACAACAATCAAGTAACATACATTCGTATAAAATGGAAGTTACTTGGCCAGTCAATGTAATGACAGGAATGAATAAGTAGATAACTCCCTAATTCCCACGGTATTAGGGAGCTATCTGCTAAAAGGCTGAAAGACCTAAATTGGTCTTTCAGCCAAATTTACTAATACTAAGTAAAGATTACTTAGTATTAGTAAATTATGCCCCTCCCTACTCGCTATACCGCCAGAAGGGGCATGTCTATTAAACAGTGAGCAGCCACAGGCTGCTTACTGTAAAAAATAAATAAAAAAATACCCCCTTGGGGGGCGAAGCCTGATGACCAACCTGTATAGACGCCATCTTACGTAGCTCCCAGATTGCCGACCACAATCTTGCTAAAATCACCCGACACAGGGGCCATCCGGCAAAACAAAGTGCATTTCCAGCACCACAACGTTGGGGCGAGCAGTTTGATGCCCTTTTTACAAGCCGCCAAGCAACCCAGGCAGCAGCACAAAACCGCGGCCTACCGTGCCACACCAATCCTTAGCCTCGAGGCACTCCTCGGCTGATAGGGAGCGGGTCGCGATTACCCAGTCTGCCCCCTGCAGGACGCACCAACCATGGGCCGACGCACCCCTAAACCCACGGCTGGAAATACTACCCAAGGTAGGGACATAGGGGAAATGCTGCTCCGACCAGCGCAGACCGTGCCAGCATATGCAGATTTCCCGCCAAACATGGCCCCCGTCCCGGAGAGAGAGGGAGACGAGACCCTCCACACGCAGAACACCCAGGTGGGACACACAACACCCCCAGCCCTGCCAGAGGACTCAGCCCCCACCACTAAAGGGGACCTGAAAGCCCTCTTGGCAGACATCCAGAAGCTACTGGCTGCAGATGTAGCCCTGATTAAAAGGGACATGCAACGAGTCACAGACTGTGTCACAAACGCGGAGAGGGACATAGCAGGCGTCCATACCACTATGACCACCCTGAAAGACTCAGTCCAACAGCTGCACATGGAACAACACGTCCTAGCAACCCAAATAATGTCCCTGGAAGACAAACAACGCCGAACACACATAAAGATCCACGGCATACCCAACACCATCACCACTGAAGAACTGCCGCACTACACGCGACGTCTCTTAAATACAATCCTGTCACAACCAATAGTTAAGAAAATCACACTGGACGGTATGTACCGAGTAACAGGCTCAGCACGCACCGCACCGGGCACCCCCAGAGATGTCATCCTGCGATGTGTCACCATACATGACAAGATTCAAATAATGACTGCCCTGAAAGGCAAAACGCCACTGGAATTTGAGGACGCTAAGTTATTATTTTTTCAAGACCTCACCAGAGCTTAGACGCAAATCTTTTGGCCCAGTAACGTCCACTCTACGCAAAGCGAACATACCATACAGATGGGGGAACACCGGCTCCTTAATTGTCCATCATGCTGGGACCACCCACAACCTTACCTCCCCCATGGGAGCCCCAGCCTTCCTGTCCGCAATGGGATTGCAGCCGAGTCAACCGCCTACCACAGACGACAATCAAGATGTCACCTGGGACCCAACACCCAACACCTCAACCGGACAACGGGCGGAATACCCACAGCGCCCCAACACCTGACCCTTATCTGGGATTGAGCCAACCTGGCCGCTGAACAACCATCTGGCTATCGAAAACCACACCGACCAACTACTTGCTTGGACTTTTACCCACACCAATTAAGAGTTTATCATGTTCAGTTACTATGGTTTTTTTTTTTGTTGGTTTTTTTTTTTTATTTTTTTTTATTGTTATTTTTATTTTATTTATTTATTTATTTATTTATTCTCTTCTATTTTCTTGTATGCACATGCTGACAACACACCCCAACTCCTGGGATAGGTACCACTACCCTCAAACATAACGGGGTTTACACACTTCTCTCACTCAGCAAGCCACTGGCCTCTGAGACCCAGGCAATCTGGCAACAAGAAGCGCCTTAAACACCCCCCCCCCGCCACTCCCTTAGGTTAGGGGTAACACTAAGCGTGCCAGTCCACCACCAAGTCATCGACCGGATCAACGTCCACACGAACATGAATATCACTCAGCATATAGTACCCAGTAGGTACACACACCCTGGCACTATTAACGCACATAGACGCCAACCTGACACCACACATGTGTAGGCTCCTACGCAGCCCTGCAGCCTCATGCACCACAAAGGAGCATACACCACACCCCATGCCTGTAGTACCCTGGGAGCGCAACACAATCCAATCACTAGCCTGCAGACATCTAGCTAGCCCCGGGTTTGTTCCCAAACATGGCCAAAATAAAAAAGTGCTTACCATACGCATTTCACCGTAAATCCTAACACCAACCCCACATGCTAAGGGATTACCTGCTACTGTTGAATATTTGCAAACTTACGATCTCATGAAATGCTGAATGTAACGCGCATGTACAACTGTGCACAGAAAAATAAAGAATTTTTTTTAAAAATACCCCCTCCCGAGCCCCCACCCGTGCCGCGCAAGTAGGGGCTTTTAACCTGAATGGTGGGTGGGGGCGCTACAGTAAAATAAGGGGGGGGGGAACCTAAATTAGAATAAGGGGGGGACCTAATGTCCTCCCCCTGGCCCCCACCCCTGAGCAGTGGGTGGGAGCCCTAAATACCAATGAGGGGGGGAACCTATTGTCCTCCCCTCTGGCCCTTGTCCTCCCCCCTCCAAAGAACTTTCCCACACTGTGTAAAATGACACAGAGCACTCTGATTGGTGGCTTTAAAACCAACCAATCAGAGTGCTGTGACAGGTAAATGTAGAGACTTACCTGTCAGTCTCTTCATTTACCTGTCAGAGCACTCTGATTGGATGGCTTAAACGAAGTGCTCTGAGCCTAATTTTTGCTTAATTTCTTTTTATTAGATTTTTTTAATGAAAATATTGATAGACATAACGACATCTGGGGGAAGGACCCTTACAGAAAAAAAATAAGGACTCCTATCCCCATTAGACATACAAAGGTAAATTAATCTATTTCAAATTACATCAGAAATAAGCCGTCTAGTACACAATAATATAGTAACATTAAAATCCCATAGAGGGGATATCATGGTCCAAAAACGGCCTTAAAAACCTTATAAATAAGACAGACAAAAACAAAGACAGAACTGGTCAGATATATTGCAGATCCAATACCACATTAAGTAATATCAGTATGTGGACAAAGAGCCCGATAATAGAGCCCGTTATGAGATCATCAGATTAGCCATAAGGTGATCGTATGAAGTAACCCCACCTCCTCAAACTCATTAAAGCCCATTAATTTTATCAACAAGAATAAAACGTCAGAATATTAACATTGGGATATTCTCTCATGTACATTAACCCCTTTTCCATCTCGACTTGGAATAGGAGTTGGTCTTTGACTTGATCTCTAGTAGGAATATCAGTACTTTTCCAAAATCTATTAATATTTTAGTAGCCATTAGACAATGTATAATCACAATATCAAGATTATCCTTTATTTCTAAGCCCATAAGATGGAGTAGGGCGACTTCCGGTTTGAATTCCAAATAAATACCTCCAATTCTATTTATAAATTCATATGTAATAGTCCAGAGAGACTTGATTCGATGGCAGGTCCACCATATATGAAACATAGAGCCATCTGGGTGTAGACACTGCCAACAATTAGATGGATTAGTAATAGAAATTTTAGCAAGTCTAGTCGGTACCAAGTACCATCTATACAATATTTTAGTAAAAGTCTCTAGAATATTCAGGCAGTGAATGTTTTTTTTAGTCCTCATAAAGGATTTACACCAACTATTAAATGGAATGGAAATTGCAAGATCAGTTTCCCATTTGGTTAAGGCTTTGGGGATAGGTGGAGTCCCTTTCATTTTTATCAGTTCAACTGCAACAGAGAAAATCTTTTTAACGTTACATCCTGAAAAAATTTTCCTAAACAATTTTCCAAAACGGCCATCTAAAGCCAATAAGTTATCTTTCAAGTATCTCTTAATACGAAGAAAATTAAATAATTCTCTAGAGGGTAAATCTAACCAGTTTTTCAAAACTTCAAAGCTTTTCAATTGGTGATCATTATAAAGATCTTTTATCTTATGATTAGGATCTTTAAACCAATTCGTCAGGTTTATCTCTAGCATAAAACGTTCTAACGACCTTAGACTAAGGTTCTCATATAGTTTTCTATTAATATTCAACTTCTTCTTTATATTAATCCATTCTTTTAATGTCTGTGATAAAGACAAAGGAAAATGAGAACCAATCTCGCATAAATGCTTATTCTGGCTTGCCTCTCTCCATAGGAGGATTTCAAGGTTATCTAAATCAAGTCTGGCTGCCTCTATTTTATACCAAGCTTGGTCTATAGAATCACTTAGTTGTAATTTACTGACATGAACAAGCATATTAGCCTGGTAGATTTAATTAACTAGGGGGTAACCCAACCCCCCTGGTGGGCCTTCCTTGATAGAGTATATGTACTAATTCTTGGTCTCTTCCCTCTCCAAACATAAGCTGTAATGCTATTTTGCAGCATATTCAGCCAATAGCTCGAAATCGAGAGAGGGAGCATACTGAATAAGTATGCCCATTTAGGAATTATATAGGCTTTAATAGTATTTATCCTTCCCCACCAGGAGATTTCATGCACTCTCCATTCTTTTAATAACATTAGTCTCTTTTAACAGTTTCAAAAAATTAATTTCCATAGTCCGTCTTATATCTGCAGTTATAATTACCCCCAAATATATAAACTCTTTTTTTTGTCCATTTAAAGTCAAAATCTTTCTTTAGGGAAAATAAATTATCTTTATGTATATTAATCGGCATAGCTATTGTTTTATTCGTGTTCAAATTATAATTTGAAACACTACTATAGTTGTTAAATTCTTGCATTAAATGAGGAAGAGAGACCAGTGGATCCGTAATAGAAATTAAGATATTGTCAGCATATAGACATATCTTCCATTCATCAAGTTGAGTTCCTAATCCTTTAATCCCTGCATTTTGTCTAATATTATTTGCTAGTGGTTCAATTGATAAGACGTATGATAAAGGTGAGAGAGGACATCCCTGTCTCGTCCCATTATTAATATAGAACCAATCAGAGCATAAATCACAGGCTACTATACGGGCAGAGGGATTTGAATATATAGCTCCCACCACATTCAAGAACCACTCGTCAAAACCGAACTGTAACAAAGTTCTCTTCAGATACCCCCATCCGACCCTGTCGAAAGCTTTTTCTGCGTCCACCGACAGGGTCAGAAGGGGGGTTCCCTCAACCTGAGCCCATTCTACGGGTGTTATTTGAGGAGTGCCTTCCCTGCATAAAACCTATCTGGTCCCTATGTATAAGTGATGGCAAAACTATTTTCAAACGTTCCGCTAAAATTGCGGCATAAAGTTTCATATCCACATTAACCAGAGAAATAGGACGATAATTACTCACATCATCTGGGCTTTTGCCCTGTTTCAAAATTTGAGTAATTTGTGCCCTTAATAAATCTTGAGATGCATTCCCTTTGATTGCCAGTTCGTTAAAGGTATTAGTTAACAACGGAATTAATTGTCTTTTAAAAACCTTAAAAAACAAATTCGTTTACCCATCCGGTCCAGGAGCTTTACTATTAACAAGTTTATCAATTGCTAACTCAACTTCATGATGAGATATATTTCTATTAAGTTTCACCATCTGGTCATTAGATAATTTAGATAGATTGGAATTTTTCAAGTAATTGTCCAACAAACCTAGGTTGGGGGATTTATTCAGGTTATAAAGTTTTTGCTAAAAAACTCTAAATTTACTGGCGATTTCTTCAGGCTCATAGATGTAATTAATTCCATCTCTTAATTTAGAGATCTTATGGTCAGTCATCTTTTTCTTCAGTTTATTTGTTAAGACTGAGTCTACCCGGTTGTTCTTATAATAATATTTAATATTTAACTTATTTAGATTACGTTCCACCCTATTCTTAATCTGATCATTTATCTTTTCTTGGTAGACTTTAATAGCTAAGGCTCTCTCTTCAGAGTAAACTTGTTTGTTAGCTTTAGAGAGATTATAAAATTGAATATAGAGATCCGATAAAATATTGTCTACATTCCTTTTTTGGAAACTTGAAAGTTTTATCCAGTATCCCCTGATTACTACTTTACAGGAGGACCATAAACATTCTTTAGATACATCATCAGATGAATTCTCCTTAATAAAGAAATCGATTAACTTCTCTATATGTTCTACATTTGCTTTATTTTTTAGCAGATAATCTGCCAATTTCCAGATCTGCGGAGGTCTCTTATTAATTTCCACCAGATCTGCGATTACCATATCATGGTCTGACCAAGTATTTTCAACAATAGAAATTAAAGAAATTGCCTGAACTAATTTTAGATTTCCCAAAATCATATCTATCCGAGCAGCCGAATTGTGAGGGATAGATCTGTGCGTAAAATTTCTTTCATTGGGGTTAAACAATCTCCAACAGTCAAACATATACGCTTTCTTAATCACTCTGCAGCCTGCCTTTTAAGAGATGTATCTATCTTCTGATTTTTAGCCAATTGTTTATCCCAAGAGGTATCAAAAATACAGTTAAAGTCGCCTAATTTATTCTACCCCACCAAGAAATTGGGATATTTTTCCAATCAATTAATTTTTTATTCATTTGTTTTAATAGAGGCAAAACGTTTTTTTCTACAATCGTTGTTATATCCATGCTAATTTGAATTCCTAGATAATTTATTGAATTTAACTCCCACTTAAATCCATATCTATCACTTAATACTTTTCTATCACTCTCTTCAATATTACTCCCTAACGCTATTGACTTTCCTATATTCAATTTCTAACCCGATATTTTTGCAAAATTATCCTAAATATTCATCACTGCCTTCATAGAATTACATGGATCTTGTAGTGTTAAAATGACATCATCTGCATATAAATTTAACTTATATTGGATATGATCACAAATAAATCCTCTGACTGCCTCTTTCTTCCTTATGATTGCTGCCAGAGGCTCCAATGACATTATATATAATATTGGGGACAATGGGCAGCCCTGTCTGGTTCCATTTCCCAATGTGAACCATTCAGAGCTAAACCCATTTCCCACCACTTTTGATGATGGTTTCAAGATACAATGCCATAGTTGCTTCCAATATAGCTCCCTCCAAACCAAATGCCAAAAGGTTCCTAATAGCTCTATTTATCTCTTCTTCCATAAAAGGCAAATTTAATAATAACAAATGTTCTTGCGTAATTTTAGGTATTTTACTTTTCTTTAAAAAGTCCTCTATATCTCTATCAGGAGGCGCTATAGGCAAATTATATAAGATCTTATAGTAGTCTTGAAAAGCCCATCCTATTTTCTCCGGTATCATGAGAGTTTGATCTTTATATAGGATTTTAGAAATACATTTATTTGCTTTTTCTTTTTTTTTTATTTGATTAGATAATAACTTATCCGGCTTATTACCCTTATAATACCATGTTCTCTTTTGAATATCGAGCCTTTCATTTGCCCTTATTATTAATGCATCGTTAATTATTTTTTCTATTTCAATGATTCTTAACGTATTCTCCCTAGAGGGGACCTCTTTATTTAGGGCACTTAGTGTCCAATTGTAAATATAGCTCAGGTAAATCTAACAAACTATTTTTCTTTTCATATGTCCCAATTTTTATTAAATGGCCGCGTATTACACGATACACACCATATTGTGGAAGATGATACTTCTTCACTATCATTTTCTTCAAAATACAACTTAGTTTATTTTTTAAAAGTTCATCATGTTGTGTGGTTTATTGAATAAATAATCATTTAATCTCCATGAACATGCTTTAGTTGTATCATTATGGTGTTATGATCAGTCCAGGGGGTAGTAATAATTTAAATTTTTTTTTATATTCTTAATAATTCCAATATTTGTCATTATATAATCTATTCTGGAATAAGTAAGCACAGTCTTAGAGAAACAAGTATAATCCTTTGTATTGGGGTTAAAGATTCTCCACATTATTATTATTATTTATAAAGCACCAACAAATTTTGGAGCGCTGTACAATGGGATTATAATATATACATTATATGAAAAGGCCGGTCATGGCGGATGGTGTCTGCTCTCCTGCGGGACCTGCGTCATGGCGGATGGTGTCTGCTCTCCTGCATAAACTGCATCATGACGGATGGTGTCTGCTCTCCTGCAGAAGCTGCGTGATGGCGGATGGTGTCTGCTCTCCTGCAGAAGCTGCGTCATGGCGGATGGTGTCTGTTCTCCTGCAGAAGCTGCGTCATGGCGGATGGTGTCTGCTCTCCTGCGGAAGCTGCGTCATGGCGGATGGTGTCTGCTCTCTTGCGGGAGCTGCGTTATGGTGGATGATGTCTTCTCTCCTGCGCAAACTGCCTCATGACGGATGGTGTCTGCTCTCCTGCGGAAGCTGCGTCATGGCGGATGGTGTCTGCTCTCCTGCGGGAGCTGCGTTATGGTGGATGGTGTCTGCTCTCCTGCACAAACTGCGTCATGACGGATAATGTCTGCTCTCCTGTGGAAGCTGTGTCATGGCAGATGGTGCCTGTTCACCTGCATCATAGCGGATGGTGTCTGCTCTCCTGCGGGAGCTGTGTCATGACGGATGGTGTCTGCTCTCCTGCGGGACCTGCATCATGGTGGATGTTGTCTACTCTCCTGCAGAAGCTACTGTTAAGACCTGCAGTGGTTATGGTGCTGCAGCCTTTTATTCCTTTCCCAAGAGCTGAGCATAAGTGATTATAGCTGCAGCAGGAATAGTGTAGATGAATGCAGCTTCCAAGATGATTCTCCCCAGCAGATGAAATATCCCCCAAACATGAGCCTAGACTTCATGAAGGGTGTAACAGGACTGAAGTTTATTGATAACGCACTGGCTTTTATGAGAAATCCTCCTGCAAGAGGACCTCCCACAGCAAATAAAGACAACAACCAATCAACATACAGATTTACAGTAACTCCCGCCCTCTCTCTGCCTGGGAGATATTGAGATAAGTTAAGGAATAAACCAATTATCTCCAGGCAGAGGGCACACAATTTCCCCAAAACTTAGAACACCCCTTTCCACACAAGGTATCCCCACAAATTCAGCCCCTGATAGCCCCGATCTGGGGGACCAACATATCCAAATTTCACCCAGATCGGTTCAGGGGTTCTTAAAAAGCATGGAAGTTATATTTTACTGACCACACACGAGGCTCCTGCCCAAAACAGTTCCACGAAGTGGCGGTCGGTCAATTTAGAACAAGGTAAAAACCGAACAAAGTACCAAATGGATCCTCCTGGCTCATAGGAGCGATTGCTCCCCTTGTACGTTTGCACAAAACTACCGAATGGCGCTCTCCTGGCGGTTCAGCAACTAAAGGAAGCAGGCGTTCAGTAGTTTCAGCGGTGGTTCGTGAGGTCGAGTGTCCGATTTTAGTTCCAGACACTCGACGACCAAGACCCGCTGCCTCCTTTCGTGCGAACAAGATGGCCGGCGTTTTCTGTTCCACGTGGCATTCGGCTATACGAACAGCGGCCGCCCAGAGAGCTCTTGATAGACGGTTCTTTTGAAGTTAATGAGCCAGGAGGGTGGTCGGTGTTCGGTAGTTTCAAACTACCGAACCAATAGAGTCAATATGCATGAAATACTGTACAAAAAGCCCGAACATAGAAGAAAATACCGAACAAAAGTCTATTTTCTTCACAGCTGCGTCATGGCGGGAAAGTGTCTGCACTCCTGCAGAAGCTCCGTCATGGCGGATGGTGTCTGCTCTCCTGCGCAAACTGCATCATGACGGATGGTGTCTGCTCTCCTGCAGGAATTACGTCACGGCGGATGGTGTCTGTTCTCCTGCAGGAGCTGCGTCATGGTGGATGGTGTCTGCTCTCCTGCGGAAGCTGTGTCATGGTGGAAAAGTGTCTGCACTCCTGCGGAAGCTGCGTCATGGCGGATGGTGTCTACTCTCCTGCAGGAGCTGTGTTATGGTGGATGGCAGGGCCGCCATCAGGGCATGACAACCGTAACGGTTGTCATGGGCCCGGCAGTCCTGGGGGGCCTGGACTGCTCAGGTCGTCCGGGCCCCACATTCAGTGGGTACATACCGGGTCGCAGGGTGCCCTGCGACCCTGGTATGTACCCACTGGGCCAGCCTCTTCTCCTGGGGGGCCCAGAAGCCGGTCACCTCAGGGCCCCCCAGAGGCTGGCCCTGCTGACACCCGGCGGGCGGGTGCGCGAGAGAGCACTCTCCTCGGTGTGCTTCCTCTTCAGCTCCCTCGCGCACCGTACTGATGCCGGAGCCGGAAGATGACGTCATCTTCCGGCGCTGGCATCAGTACGCGGCGCGCGAGGGAGCTGAAGAGGAAGCACACAGAGGAGAGTGCTCCCTCACGCGCCCGCCCGCCGGGTGTCAGCAGGGCCAGCCTCTGGGGGGCCCTGAGGTGACCGGCTTCTGGGCCCCCCAGGAGAAGAGGCTGGGCACCCTGCGACCCGGTATGCACCCACTGAATGTGGGCCCCGGACGACCTGAGCAGTCCAGGCCCCCCAGGACCGCTGGGCCCATGACAACCGTTATCAAATTTGAGGGGGGGAGAGGAAGAAAATTTGAGGGAGGGGGAGAGGAAGGCTGAAATTTGAGGAGGGGGGAAGAGGAAGGAGGAAATTTGAGGGGGGGGGAGAGGAAGGAGGAAATTTGAGTGGGGAGAGGAAGGGAGGAAGTTTGAGAGAAGGGGGGAGAGTTAGGGGAGGAAATTTGAGGAGGGGGGGAGAGGGAAGGAAATTGTGAGGGAGAGAGAAGGAAATTTGAGGGGGGGAGAGGAAGGGAGGAAATTTGAGGGAGAGGAAGGAAATTTGAGGGAGGGAGAGGAAGGAAATTTGAGGGGGGAGGGAGAGGAAGGAAATTTGAGGGGGGGAGGGAAAGGAAGGAAATTTGAGGGGGGGAGTGGAAGGAAATTTGAGGGAGGGGGGAGAGGAAGGCAGGAAATTTGAGGGGAGAGAAAGGAAGGGAATTTGAGGGAGTGGAGGAAGAGGAAGGAAATTTGATGGGGGGAGAGGAAGGAAATTTGAGGGGGGAGGAAGGAAATTTGAGGGAGGGAGGGAGAGGAAGGACATTTGAGGGGGGAGAGAAGGAAGTTTGAGGGAGGGGGGGAGTAGCTGTACTGAGGGGAGGGAGAGGAAGGAAATTTTGAGGGGGGGGGAGAGGAAGGAAAATTTGAGGGGAGGGAAAAGAAAGAGGAAGGAAATTTGAGGGAGGGAGAGAGGAAGGAAATTTGAGGGACAGGGGAGAGGAAGGAAATTTGAGGGACAGGGGGAGAGGAAGAAAATTTGAGGGATGGGGGAGAGGAAGAAAGTTTGAGGGACGGGAGGAGAGGAAGGAAATTTGAGGGACGGGGGGAGAGGAAGGAAATTTGAGGGACGGGGAAGGAAATTTGAGGGAGGGGGAGAGAAGGAAATTGGAGGGGAGAGGAAGGAAATTGAGGGGGGGAGAAGGAAATGGAGAGGGAGGGGGAGAAGAAGGAAATTGGAGAGAGGGAGGGAGGGGGAGAAGAAGGAAATTGGAGGGAGAGGGGGGGAGAAGGAAATTGACGGGGGGAGGGGAGAGATTGACATCCATCACACACACACACAATGCACCCCTTGCACACAGAAAAACACACAATGCATTACACACAGACACACATACACAAGCAATGCATCCCTTACACACAGCAACACACAATGCACCCCTTACACACACTCAATGCATCCCTTACAGACGCACACACTGCATCCCATACATACACAAACTCACCTTGCAGCCCTTACACATACAAACACAGATTCACACAATGCATTCCTTACACACATCAGGACATCCCCACACACACACTCCACCCCCTGTGAACAAACTCATTGATGGAACATGAAGGTGGACCCTGGGACCCAGTCCTTGAGCTGTGTAAAGGGCCCTCAAAAAAATGGAGCTGCTTTCCGGTCTCCCAGAACATTGATCTTTGTGACCACAGTTACAAACCGCCTCCAGAGAGCCTGT